TCTCTTCTTTTTCTTTTTGCTGCAGGTTTGTGGTTTTGACTGAAACTGGCTGGAGCTGGGGAAGGGTCTCTGCCATGCTCGAGGCTGCCCAGCTTTTTGATAGGAATAGGAGAGGGCTGCTCATAGGTGCTTGTGCGTAGTCGTAGACGATTTGCAACATGTGGAAGCTAGCAGCAGGACCGGCACAGCGCGCGGCAAGCGCTTGGAGTTGCCTCTCGGCCGGCCGGACGCTTGTGCTGTCAGTTGCCGGAACGAGGGTAACGGCGAGGGCCAGCGTGTCTCTGGGAAACACGTGGACCAGCAATGTCATGGGTCGAGCGCTGCACACACTGCGCCCGCTGGCGGCTAAAAAGGTCAAGTTTGAGGTGGAGGACAGCAGCAAGAAGAACATGCTGCCCAACACTTTCTTGCTGATCGGCGTGGATGGCGAGCAGCTCGGCGAGTTTACGGCTCCGCGAGCCATCAGTCATGCCCGCCAAAACAGTCTGTCGGTGGTCTTGGTCTCTCAAAAGCCGCCCGTTTGCCGCCTTATGACCACGACCCATTTGCGAGAGCGTCAACAAAAGGTCAGTCGGCTCCATCCGCCCGCTTTACCTGCTCCAATGAGACTGCTCGGCGCGTCTCATGGTGTGCAAGTGCAGGCACGCGAAGCAGCTTCAAATAAGAATAATGCCAAGCGGCCAGCATCAAAGTTTCCTCAAAAAGAAATTCAAATGACCGGTAAGGGTGTGGTGTGATCATGCGAGTCTACTCGTCATGAGGTCTTTGCCGTACTGATGCACATAATACCGCTTGCTTTCTGTACGCTTGTGCCGAATGGACAACTGGGCGGCAAACACACACCTAGCCTGGATTACCGAGCACGATCTGAGTATCAAGCTGAAGCAGATCCGCAAGTTTCTCACAAAGGGCAATCAAGTGCGGCTCTTCATCAAACACCGNAAGGGTCAAGCTCGAGACAAGGAGGTTCGTCAGTGCCGTGCGCACATGATGCCCTCTTGATACCCGCGTGCCAGTCTTTCCTCGA